AACTCCAGCACTCCCTCCAACACTCCACAACTACTACACTATTACTATTTGTAACTTAAAAATAAACTCTTGAATGAGTTGGTTCATTCGTTTTTACTCCTTGAGTTTCACATTTGTGTGTACCTGCTGTGCAAGTGCCTTTATCTAGACTCTAGAGAGATAGTAGACTGAAAACAGAGGATGTCAGACTTTCAGCTAAGGCAACAGCACAGCTACCCTTCCTAAGGCAAGGGGTTATGTTCCTATACACACCATAGAGTATAAATCAACTGAGCTTGTGGTCAAGATGGGTCGCATATTGTTCCCAAGAATGCTACTATAAAATTCACATATAACCCAAAATAATCATTATTTTTACTTCATCTGTTAACTAAACTTTCCTTGAAAAATGTGAGGAGCAGTGTTGAAATGTATTAAAAAAAAAGAAACAATTAAGGAATGACTTACTAACCTGTTGGAGTGTATGGAAAGTGTGTGCCACAAAATCTACATACCAAGCGTGGACTAAGCAGGAAGTTAAACACCAGGATGGCGTCCATATGAAACGAAAACTTCTTGTTATGTTCATTTTCAACACAAAAGATCTTGTTATTCTTTATATTTCAATTATAATTTCCTTGTCAAATAATGCACAGTAACAAATGAAACAAGAGTGCAGAATGTTTTAGAGAACAATAGTCTGTACACTCATCACCTTCACTATTCTAGAACTACTGTAGGTGTTTGAATGCAGTTACCCGAGTCACTCTTCACTACACAGATCTATATTAGCTCTTCATCTCATTGTAATCTTATAAATCATGCTTATCTATGAAGCCATTAAGCAATCCCACTCTCGGTCACAGGTCTCACTCACTGTACCAACCTTACTACCCGCCAACCTCCGAGAACATCCCAAGGAAGCCATTAGCTAAATCACTGCCATTTCCCAGGGGCATATTTTTTTTTATCACACTAAACACTAATATCTCTATTAGCTGGAATCCCTCTTAGCCAGAACTCTCCAGCTCAAGATTGAAGAAGCCACAAGTCCAGAAAACTGTGAGGGCAAACTTTTTCGGAGTGAGGGTTGTAAACTCTTGGAACAATCTACCAGAAAGTGTTGTGACGGCACCGAGTGTGAGCTCTTTCAAGACAAGACCTGACCAACACTGGAGCGGGTTCAGGTACATTCAGGAGCCGGTGCATGCCCAGTACTTGCCAACAGTGAGTAACAGAGACGTGACCAATCGCCCAAGCGGCTAACGAGCCGACCAGTGGTGAAAAATTATCTTAATTCCGGGTTTGAGAACGATTTTCCAAGGTTGAAAATCAGGCGCATTTTCTGGAATGTTCTGAGAAAAATTACGTTAACTCTCTCCAAAAAAATTTCCCAGGTCTAGGAACAAAATCCGAGAATGAGAAAAGGAAAATTTTCTGAAAATTTTGAGAAAAAATTCAGGAAAATCTCTCCAAAATTTTCTCCAGGCTCTGGGAACAAATTCCAAGGATGGAATAATGCATCATTCTGCAAAATTCCATTGTATATGAAATCTCAAACAAGTAGTGACACCTGGAAATGGAATGGAAGAAGGGAGGTGTACAGTACAAGCCAATGTGTAAATAAGTTTTAAAAAATTTACAAAATATTTGGTCATTCTGATATATAAATTTCAGCTTCCTAGCTAATAATATGCTTGAGGTATCACCCGAGCAAACAAACAACCAACCAGCCGTCATGACAAACAAACTGAATAACCAATGAGTACAGTACAGTACAGTACTCCTCTTGAGAATCTCACAACAGAAGAAATTAAAATGCAATTCTTGTTTAGTTCCACACTGTACCGAGCTCCCAAAGGATAACTACTTGGTAATATGGTAACTTAAAGGGAGAGACGGCTTGAGATATTTGCTGGCGAGTATACAGGAGACTGATCCATTTGTTTGTTTCTTGATGATGGCCATAATAATGTTGAGTCAGGATGAACCTCCATGATCCAGTAGACCTTAGCATCCTAGAGGGAGGAGGGAGTGATATCGAGTTACTTGATCCTGACTTATGAAATTCCCATCCATTATCACTGTTCTCATTAACACACTCACTGCTTGTTTCACTTGGTGGAGGAGCGAGAGGTGAGTAAATCATGGTGGCTTAAATGACCTTTATGTGTTGTAATTCCAGATTCAGTTCTCTTGTGTTTGACTGTCGGAGAGATTTATTGCTCTTACTTAGGTTCTCGGACCAAAGGTTTCCATATGAAAATGTATTGCCAAATAAGTAATTCCATGATTCAGTGATATGGTTGGGACTATTTCCTGCTACACCAATCATATTCTGATGATCTTGTAAAGTCAGTGAGATTTTTACTGATCACAGAAGAATGTTTAACTTCCATTAGGGGTCCAATCCAGTTTAACTGATGTTCACGCTGATGTAATTTCAGTTAGCTTTTAAGTGTCCAGAAGGAACACAACAAGGACAGGTTGATTCATTGGCTTCATCCTTCGTCAATTTATGCACAGGTTCAGGGAGATTCACTCAAAGGTTCTGTCTCTCCTCCTCACTACGTCACTGTCAAAACTTTTCTGGGGAGTTTTGTATTGTAGATGGTGAAGGCCAAATGTGGATTCTTGTCCTGGATAGATTAGGGGTGTCTAATAGTCCCTTTCTGGAAAATCACTTCACAAACAGCCTCAAGCTATATTCACTATTAAATATACCTTCCCTTAAATTTAAAAAAATTCCACAAACACTATGATCAATATGGTTGAAAAGGCAACAGCTTGAGTGCAATGGGCACTGTGTGTGATTATTAAAAGTACATTGAGAGAGTTAACCCACAACCCAACACTCTGTACACCTTAATCTGTTGCCTCTTCTGACAACATAACAGAGACAGACCTCCACACAAATCCAAATCATTTGTATAGTCAAGCAACTCAAATGAATCACTAATAAGAAAGGGAGATGCAGTGAAGCGTAGACATTAATTCAAAGTGAACAAAGTCAATGAGAATAATTAATTAATGGGGATGTCCCTTTTATTCCTCCGAGTGTATTAATTACCTCCGGGTGAGTACCTGGGGGTAATGGGACCATAGTATGGCTACGGTAACATTGAACAACTCCGCCCAAAATCCCCCAGCTGGACCCCATAAGGATTCCCTGATGTCCTGTTAATGAGCACAAAACACACAATAAACTCTTTACCTACAGTACTGTGTGTGTGTGTGTGGGTCAATTACCCCAATCTAGAAATTTAACTTAACTGCTGAACTATGCAATGTTTGTGTCACTCAGAATGCAACCAACACAAGGGACAATCCTCGAACTAAGTCATTAGTTGATGTAAACACCTCCAAAACCCCTAACAACATAATCCTTTCTAAATTAATACCCATAGACTGTGTAACTAAACCCAAAACACACTTCACTGCAGAATTATATTGGAGGCAGCACTTATCTTCCATCGAGGTGAGAAAAAGCGGCGAGTGACTGGAAACTAGTGTGGGTGATCCTGGTGTGCTGAGTTGTGGCTGATGTATGATGACCACGGAACAATCATGTCAGAGCAGCAATTAGGCTTTCCAGCTTCACGTGCTGACTGAGGCTTACGTTTACAGTATTGAAGGATTTACTAATTTGGGAAAACTTTTTGAACGAGTTACTGTAATCGTTTTAGACATCTTAATCTAGCATCAGTCACACGTAATATCGATTCTCGAGATCTGGGTTTTCCGCCGTATAGACTATAGTGAATAATTGAATAATACTAGCGGGAAGCAGCGGATAGTGAAGTTTACTATCTGGTGCATCCCTAAATACAAGTCACCCAAAATGTGCACAAGCTATAAATATTAATATAGTCAAAATTAATATTTTTGTTTAATACAACACTTCAGAGAAATGAAGGTGTCTCAACACAAACATCCTCCTACAGCACGATTATTGCCTTCTTTAAAAAGTCATGTTAAACAAAGACAAACTAAACAAAAATCAATTTAATGTAGAAATACAGTACTGTACATACGAGATGTGATCCTGACTGAAATTTTTTTTTAGACAAACTTCAGAAATTTGTTTTATGCTATAAACTAGATACTCAAACATTACAGGAACTATCTTATGGTAGTTCTTTGAAAAAATTCTTCTAGAAAAAATGCAAGAAAAATTGCTTTTAAATACAAAAATAATAATAAATGTTAGTTAACACACACCAGTGAACAATACTTTTAGTGCTACACAATATATAAACACATGGTATTTTGTAAAATAATTCAGTTGAAATACAATTAATACCCAGTCATGGTATATGCACAGAAGGATGCTACCATGAGGCAACACACACACAGCTGCTAGGAAGAATACCCTGTGCTATTTGTTATTAAACTGCACTAAATGTAAAATTGTTGTGACAACTGATGGCACTGATCAAGAATGAGTTATAATATAAAACTGACAAAAAACTATTCAAGGATCACTGTATAGTACTGTGCTGTAGTCTGTAGTGTAAGTCATTATTCTATATTTGGCATCACCGTTTGTAATCTCTGATTATTAATATCTCCTCAAGCATGATTTGTATTAAACAAAATTATTAATATATTGTACAAATTCATATCTTTGCTTAATACAAACACACAACATACACACACATGCATACAGTGTGTTTGTATATTACCTGGTAAGCAAAATTATTAATTTGTATGGCACCATTACCAGTAAGCTTTGTTTACTCTACGACGGCCTTTAGTTTCTGGCGAGTCATCACTCACACAACTTTAGTTTACCAGCCCACATTAGCAAGCCATAAGATGTAGTAACTCTAGCCTGGTAAGAGCTCTTGTTTGTATCTGATAGTAAGCCACACCTCCAAATTTGTCTTTTTTTTGTGTAAATAAGTGTGGCCTATATGCATCAACATATGGTACTGTACAATGGATGTATTATGTAGTACACTATTCACTGTGCTACAGGCAGAGTGAGGTGGAGCAAGAGGCATGCACTGATACTGAGGTGGTGTGAGCAGTGCTTTATTTAATAGCAGTGATGTAAGTACAGCTTAAGTTGCCCACAGTGGAGAAAAACTTGATTGTTCACCTATTCTGACTGTCCCATTATAGCAACATTTCAAATTTCTCCTGTAATGGGATTCTAGACTGTATTCAACTGTCACAATATTACAAAATTCTAAATTAAACAATGCAAAAAAATGATGGTTAGGATTTCAGTGTTTCGTTGTAGAACCTGTACAGTATTAGTAAAGTATTGGTATCTATTTCTCGTTAGTTTAATACCTGTTCAATGATCACAAATGCTGAAACATAAACTGTTAACTGGTGTAAAACTGCTTCAAATTCTCTTAAGATCACATCACATTATAGTTTTCTAAATCTTACTTGAGTGAAATAAATTATAAAGGATTGTATAGGTTAGTTTGTTTATAGGTGCCCAGCAGACCATACCAATAGTCACTCACTGATTTGCTAACTCACTCACTCACTGACAGACAAGAATTTACTTCAATACTGACCCAACTTTTGGGTAACTCTTACTTGATCCTCACAAAGATGCAAGAGATCAGAACATCAATTTCTTAATATGATTATACCATTACCATTAGGTTTACAAGATGATTAATCATAAACTGCCATAAATAGATGAAGTAAGCAGATGAGTCACAGGGATCTATCTTAGTCATCATAACAGAGTAGAAAATATTGTGCAAGCATCATCATTCTCATAGAACAGCATTAACGTGACACAGTGGTTAGTCCAACTGCATGGTGTCATGTCCTTAATACTGTATAGTTGAGGTTTTGAATGACATCATCAATGTTTGCTATGTCTATTTGTTGCAGGTGAAATGGGCCTCAGTCCTCATAGGCTTTAATAAATGAGCCTAACCTGAGCTCCAATCCTAATTATTGAATTAAGTTAGATTGCAACCTCTTAGGACTGGGCCCCATTAAGCAGTCATCTGCCTCTGGGATTGTTAGTAAAGTTAGTACAGTATCTACTAGGGTTAGTAAGTTGAAAACAATCAAACACAATTACATATTTTATGTTGAATGTCAAAGAGCATAGCTTGAAGTCTGTTACAGCTAATACTGACAAACATTTATAGCACAAGAACACTGTTTTAGAATTGATATACTAAATATACAGTAAACCCTCAATCTCCATAGGGGTAACATCTCCTGAACACTTATGAGGACATGAATAAGGAATCTGCTAAAATAATGGAGTATATTTTAGGCCCCAAATTTTTGCTGTCAGTCAGCTATACTGTATTCAACAACAATAAAAACTAATGACCTCGTTATACTAAGGTCATTGAACTTGTGGATTATGCCAGATGTATAAGAAGGTTGGTATAGGGGGCAAAAAACTCTTCCTCATCACTGGGTAATACAATCTGGTTCACAAACAGGAAAGGAAGCCACAATTAAGTTTAGTTTGTGCTCGTTGTCTTTACGTTGTTTTGTATACTACCGGTAAGCCTTTGTTGTACTGTCACTCGCATCTTCCTGTGTTTGTGCTGTTATATCACTGACCCTGTACTGTGGTGGATTCTACAAGAGGATATACTGTACATATGATAAAGGTACTGTAGTGTAAAGAGCCAAGTGTTGAGAAATGGGGGACAGTATCTCTCTCCTACACACAGTCAACACTCTCAGCTGAACCCTCACATCTGCTACAGTCATCTACCAACCGTCCTCTGGTCCCAGGGACAGCCTCACTGGCATGTCCTTTGTTGCTTAAGATGATTTTCATTATTTTTTCTACATATTATTCTACTTTATGTTACAGTAGACTTAATTATAAGCTTATTAATTCTATATTCATCTGTGTTTTTCTTTGTAGTACAGAAAACTTGCCCAAAGAAATTATATCATTACTTCACTTTTTTTGGTCACAGTTCTTGTATCATCTGTGGTATAGTGAAGGGTGGAGTAAACATGTTAATTACAGTTTACGTTGGTCTGTCATCGTACAGTATATTAAAAGAACAAATTTGTAATCTGTGGAAATGGAGGGTTTACTGCACTTCCCTTATGTGAGATATTAACCTTTGTTTCTTGTGTTTAAAATAATGTATATATTAAAAAATTATTATAGTTATTTGCTTTTAGTCATGACAAGAGTCACCAATAAGCACAATACCCACAACAAACATGATTCAATAACAATAATTCTGAATGATTGGATATTAAATAAAGTTATTTTTTTAAACTGGCCAATAATTCTTAAAAGAGCTCAGAAACTTCTTAGACAAAACTATAAATAATCCATCTGTATCTTAATGTCTTATATTTGACACAAATTTCTTATTTCATAGATATAAATAATTTGTTGTTAGTGCAAGAGCATGAGGCCTACCCCAGCCTCAGGAGGTACTCTGGCCCTCCTGAACACCAGCAAGCAGCTTGTCTTCTACGCCACCTATCAAGCGACTCTTTATAGTGTTCAAGTATCCAAAGCTGAAACCAATCAGGAGGTTAAGTTAATAAAGTATAATAATGATACAGTATAGCGCTGGAGACACAAAGACCATCTATTCAAGAGTAAAATCCTATTACAGAAAGCTACCAGGGAACATTAGTGAAGGTTCAAGTTCTCTCAGTATATAATTCTGAGATGCACGCAGATGTAGTGTTCTTCCCCTGGGGCTTGGAAGCTACATCACTGGAGCATTTACACCAGATGACACACATACCAACCTAACCTTTCCTAGCAATCACTTATGATCCTTAGGTAAAGTAAGGTTAAGGTTTGTTTGTGTGTCATATTTTTCAGCGGTGTTATAGTACTGGAGAGTCCCAGACCCAAGGACAGAACACTACAGAATGCATGTCTGAAAATATACAGGTAGAATATATTCTTCACCACTAGATGAAACTAAAGGCAATGAAATATATACTGAATAACCATGGTTTGATTTTCCTTCATCTAGTAATAATTTCAGCTTCTCTTCACAAAAAATAAAATAATCACAATTAAGAGTATAATCAATTTGGTATTCATATGATAAATGTTCAAATATACACCATGGTCTTTAAATCTATACATGTTCAATTGCCTGAGAAGTAAACTACCAGGGTAAATATATATATCATCTAAGTCTTAAGAGTGACAGGTAATATGAAGATAATAAATATAAAGGGAAAAAAAATGATACTCACAATTTCCTAATGCCAGACTCTCCCCTCTTCCACGGTGCATCATCAGGTTCATATGGCATGGGGCCTTGGACTGGTGGCTCCTCCTCCTCCTCCTCCTCCTCCCCAGCGTCCCTGTAACACCACACATTATTACCTTACTTGTCACAGCCTTAACTCCTTACCCCTGTAGTCCTGTACTTCATAACACACACCAGAAATTTGATGAATACACTGTACACTTTTTCCTTTTCTGCAAGTTAACTTTTACAGAATAATATTACTGTACTTGTGTTCAATTTAAGTAATAATGGTCTAAAAAGTAAGAATATTCAGTAGCCCCGAGCTATATACAGTAAGAGTAGGACTGAGAACGTGACGGATTCTTTACTATGAATGTAAACTACAACCTAAAATAAAGAATACCCAATAATTATTTTCTTTGATGTTCGCATCTTAATCACCCAAAAAAAAAATTCACTCAGTAACTTAACATAGATGTTCATATTGAAAACACTGTAGCTCACCATTTCACTCTGATATAGAGTAAGATAAATATAATAAAAAATTATCTTGGATGTCTTGGACTCTCAAGTAGCAAGGGTGTAATTGATTTAATTTAGAAGAGGTCACCGAGTGTGTGTGTGTGTACTGTACACTCCACTGACCTGCTGAGAAGTACTGGGTGATGTGGAAGATGGTGCAAGTTGCTTGTAATTGTTAACAATGATAAGACAATACTGTGTGGTGTTAACACTCAGTAATTGTGGTGGTCTTTAATCAAGAGTATTGCAAGATCTGTTGGTACAGTACTGAGTGGCATGATAGGCCCAGGTGGCTAGAATCCTGTTCACACAGCTGATTCCCAGATGTCCACATGGGGGCTCATTCTCATTGTTGATTCGCTGAGATATGCAGGGAAGCTCTTTCTTATCATTGATTGGCTGGCTTACCACTCCTGATGAGTGTGCATAAATTGTCATGTTTGGACAATGGTTTTAGAGCCAAAGAGCAGAAACATAAAACTGTACTGTACTACTGCAGAGTTTGGATAGCATGAAAGTTCAATTTTGTTTGTCAAATGGATTGTTTACATGTTAAAACATACTGGTACACCTATACTGTACAGGTTCCCATGACACACACAGGTATGCTTAATAACTCTCCTCCTCATCACCTTCCTGATCAACTCCCTCAGATACTGTCTTCAAAGCCAAAAACGATGAATATGGTTTCCTTTTTTTATGCAATGTATTTTTCTGTGAATACTATACAGTACTGTATATTCACTTTAAATACTAATTCTATACATTCGCCATCTTTTTACAACCTCCCATTTCCACATATATTTTGTAGTTTAATAATAGTTCTAAATATGAATTACCACAATGTATACAATAAACTTAACAGGTTACTCATCAACAGTTCTTGTACTCTCCCTTACTACTGTATTGTACCTTCCCTTGACGTATTATTATCACCTTTGAACACTCCCCTCATACTCTTCCTGTTATCTGAACAATGTAATGAAGCTGATTAAGACTTTTTATTTATAATCTCCCCAAATTTTAATTTTTCTCACTAAATAGCATCCATTAATTGAACTTTCCCTGATTTTAATTGGCTTACAGATGCTTTTCTCTCCTACCTTGATTATTTCTCCTGTTTTTATCTCTTTCTTGGATAAATATTGCTGTACTTAAATATTCCCCCATGCTTTCTTCATTCATTCATTCCCCTGTGTAACACCACCCCCTGTGTAGCACCACCCCCTGTGTAACACCACCCCCTGTGTAGGACCCCCCTCCCCCCCGTGTAGCACCACACCCCATGTAGCACCACCCCACGTGTAGTAACCCCCTTGTGTGTTGAAAATTTTTCACCATATGTAAGTTGTGTTCAAGATAATACAAGTCATTGTTTCTTGTTCAGCTAACCCTGTTATTGTTCCATGTTCACTATATAACTATAAACTATTGATAAACCAGAGTGTTGTGACCATCTCAACACAGTACAGTATGTCCTGTACAGGGCAGGTGCGCTAGAGCTTATATAAGGTAAACACTAATATTCCCTTTAGCACATATATATAAAAAAAAGGAGAGGTTGATTAACTGTGTTGTTTGGTGATGGCTGGACACTGGGAGGTGTTGGCCCTCAAAACCAACTTGAGATGTTTAGCAATTGTAAACAATGTTGTTTTATGGTACAAACACAATTGTCTCTACAGTAACATGTGTGTGACTGCATAACAGTAGACAAAACCTCTCACTCATGTGTTCTGGTTATGTAATTAGGGCGAGTGATTTTTTTAACTCTTAATAAAGAGAGACTGTATCTTTCAGGGATAACTGGACCTCTGATAAGAACACTGCACAACATGTTCAGAAAAGGTAATACTGAATACAGAAATACTTTTGGTGAATTTGTAAGGAGAAGTAAGTGTTTCATTCATGAAGAAAAACTCATTCCCAAACAGAAAGCTTCTGAAATTTCATTCGTAGTACAGTAAACCTACAGCTAGTAGGAATGAGGGGGAAGGCCATTCCAGAAATATAATTGTTCCCAAACTGCTGAAGGCTCTCACTGAGACTTGTTGACTGATGTAAGGCTACTCATCTCACTTATGTTCCATGCACAAGTACAGTGTAACTACCCTGTGCCCCTTTTCTCAAAGATGTAATTATTATATCAGTAAATCAAATCCATTATATTAACGTTATTTTTACCCCCCTCCCAGGCTGGAGTAAGTGGAATGGTAATCAATCATAACCCTCTCTATTATGGGGGTCAGGCTGTCATCTAAAGCTGTGTAACTATTCTTCACTGTAAATGAAAGCTTCCTCTGACATTCCTAGATGTCTGGCCAAGCATGCAGCAGTGCTTGTAAGCTTCCTGTCATGCTCAGGAATGTTTTCAGCCATTTCTTGCTAGTATCACTTTAATACCACACTCTCCAGCACAAGATATGCTTTCCTATTCATACATGCTTTCTAGAAGAGAACACCTCAGTATCCTCATGACTAATAAATTACTTCAACTTTACTTAATACTGTCAAAAGTTCTTCACCAAACCATGTTCCTGTTGGGGCATCTTTGTTTTTACTCTATGCTCGGGTGTGTCTACCATTATCGGCTATTTTAAGATGCTGAGATGCACAGAACCATAAATGAAAGCCAATGCTAAATTACTTTAAGTATTATGGGACTACAAACAAACAAATATAGAGTATACAGAGTGGCTAAGCACAGATGACACAAGGAAAAGGTGAGAACAGGAAGGATGCACATTAGGGCCTGGATGTGAGGGAAGAGGTAGGTGGCAACCCTGCATTGTGTGCTACAGTATATTAAATCACCATTTAGCCACCATGATGATATCACATACAACTTACATATTGGATATTTTACAAAATATTTCAATCAACCGTATGTCGATGTCCAGTAATATCTCTGTTAGCCGGAATCCCTCAAACCCAGAACTCTCCGATAGGCAGAATTGAAATTTTCTCGGAAAACCGTTCCCAAAGCCGTAATTTTCCGGAAAATTCCGACTTTGGGAACTATTTTCCGAGGGGCACATTTTCTGGAAAATTACAAAAAAATTTTCACAGTCCACAGAAAATTCCGGGGATGGGGGATTTTTAATCCGGGTTTGAGACGAAAATCAGGGGCATTTTCTGGAAATTCCGAGAAAATTTTTCAGGTACCTTCACAATTCTCTGGGGCACCTAAAGCTAAAAAGGCACGAAAAACAATCGCAATGGATGTGAAATTAAATGTGATCACCCGCCTTCAGAGAGGAGAGCGTGTGTCGGAGGTTGGCCGCGTGCTTGGTTTAAGTGAGAGCACTGTTCGTACCATACAAGACAATGCTGAGAAGATAAAGAACAGTGCTCTATCAGGGACATCTACAAGTGCAACAAAAACCTCTTATGCTCAGAGCTCTATAATGGAGCACATGGAAAGGATGCCGAGTACGTGGATTGAAGATCAAAATCAGCGCAACGTACCAGTCAGCATGTTCCTAGCCCAGACAAAAGCGCGTGCAATCTATGAAGAGCTACAGAAGGATGAAGAAGGCCCAGTGAAACCATTCAGTGCTAGTTCTGGTTGGTTCGCTAACTTCAGGCGAAGATACGGGTATCACAACATCAAGATGAGTGGGGAGGCTGCATCTGCCGATGCCGTGGCTGCCGAGGAATTCATCTGAACTCTGAAGGGTATTATTGTGGAGAGAAGCTACTCTGCAAAGCAGATTTTCAATCTGGATGAAACTTCTCTATTTTGGAAAAGAATGCCAGCACTAACGTATATCTCTTGCAAGGAAAAATCAGCACCAGGCTCCAAGGCCGCTGAGGATCGTTATACCGTATTGTTAGGAGGTAATGCTGAAGGTGACTGCAAATTAAAACCAGTGATGGTGTACCAACCAACGTGCTCTCAAGGGTTATTCTAAACATCTCTTACCAGTACACTACTTTTCAAATAACAAGGGGTGGATTACTGGTAGTCTTTTCTGTGACTATGTTGTGTCAAAGCTGAAAGATGAGTTACATGAATATTGTGAAAGTGAGAATCTTTCTTTTAAAATATTAATGTTAGTGGATAACGCCCCCGGACATCCACCCTCAATTTAAGATCTTTGTGAAAACATTCAAGTTGTCTATCTTCCACCGAATACGACATCCCTCATTCAGCCTATGGATCAAGGAGTGATTAGTACGTCTAAGGCTTATTATCTCAACAAAACATTTGATGCTGTAGTGAAGGCTACTGATGATGGAAAAATGACTGTTAAAGAATTCTGGAAATCTTTTAACATTAGAGACTCTATAATGTTTGTTGGTGAGGCATGGGACAAAGTTAGTTGTTCATGTATGAATGGAGTTTAGAAAAAACTGTGTCTGCATCTTGTGAATGACTTTAGAGTTTTTAGTGTTGAAAGTGATCTGTGTAAAACCAGAGAAAACATTGTGAGTTTGGTAAAGATAGTAGGTCTTGAAGAGGTGGAGTTAGAAGACATGCAGGAGTTATTAGACTCTTGTAAAGAAGAACTTTCGCCCCAAGATTTGCTTCACTTAGAAAAAGAGCGCGAAGATTAGGAAGCAGGGAAGAAAGGGGAGCCCGAGGTT